TGATATTCGAAATTCAAATATTGACATTTGATTTGTTAAGTTGTATGTTTATAACAAAATCGCAATTTTAATTAGAGTAATATGAATATAATTAAACGATATGAAAGAAAATAATTTTATGATCAAACACATATGGTATCCAAATGGACATAAATACAATTTTTATAAAGTAATTAACATCGGTAAATGATTCATCGTTAAAACATTATGGTATATAACGTATAAATATTAAAATGTTATAATTTAGTTGGATTTAAATTAGTAACATATATATTTGTAAGGTCATGTTAAAAAATTAATGTGAATATGTAGAGATTTTCAACATGACATATATAATTAATTAGAATGTTTGATTGCTTAATTTAATTAATGCGTCTCTTAAAATCCAGTAAGATTTTTTTATTTAGTGTCTTTTCAATTAATATATAGAGGATAATTGAGTTTACATTACAAAAAGGGCTATGATGATTGATGACAATGAATATTGAGTTTGTTATATTGATGTAAGAAACATAACTGGTATTCTCGTATTCTCTTTGAATATATCGAGTGGATGTTTGAGATGATGCTAATCTCATCAACCTTGTGCGAATCTATGACCACAATTGGGGAAAGTGTAATATGTTGTTTGTCCTTGGTCCGCTGATCTTGTCAGCAAATACGAAAAACTCAAGATTGGATACATTCTTCGATATGAAGGCGAAGCAAGAACTTGAAGGCTTGGATTTTTACCTGTCGGGTTGTGTATACAAGCTCAGGGTGCTGACATTTCTCGCACGCCTTTTTGATCTGCGAAGAGAATCATAAAAAAAATCACAAAAACCAGTCTCCATTTTCAGGTTTGAAATTAATTACTTAGCAGGGAAGAGTTATGTGTGTGTGTACATTGCCTAATAACAGTAGACTAACAGAAATCAAGAGCGAGATCTTTGCTACTCCGTGAAACAAATGCGATTTATTTACACACAGTTTGTGAAGAACGTATCAGATTACACCGATTCATGCAGCAAAATTAGTCAGAGAAGAAGAAGCCACAATGCTGAACAAAAGGAAAAAAAATGATCAAGGAAACGAAACAGAGGCCATATTATTTGTTGCACAAAGATAATGGGCTTGAAACAAAAGCCCAAAATATGGCCTTCAAATGTTTTTCTTTCCGTAAAGATTGATTTAATTAATTTCGTTCCAAAATCGCTTCAAAAAAATTGTCCAAAAAAAAAAATCAATTGATTCGATTGTTCAATTGAAAAATTGAAATTTTTTTTTTCCGCCACTGAGAG